AGACTTTCATCTTTTTTATCTATCCCTTCTTTTATTTCTTTAAGCACATTAAATGTCCGTATTTTATACAGGTCTGATGATTTTTCTGATGATGAATGACTGAGATTGGAAAGCTGTTTTTTTCACTAATGTTTCCCATGCTCTTTGTCATTTTTAACATGTGAGCTCAAGTTTTTTGAACCTTACCTGCAAAAATTCTTTAAGAACTTAGTTGAAGTTAAAGAATCCTCCAGAAATGACTTGCACTATTGTCTAAATGGGGACCACCCAATCAGTTTAAATTAGGTCTTTGAAGCTGCAGGAAAACCAGCTCATGATGACTAATTCTCAGCGATTTTTTTCCTCCACTGTGCTCATTGCCAGAGGTCAAAAAAGGCGATTTCCCTGCAGTCCCCAAGGGTTGGAGGAACATCTTCCATTTACCTCTGCACTGTGGGTAAATACCTTTGAGAGCCCCTGTTAGGCTATTCAGCTGGGGTGGAATCTGGGCCTTGCTTCCTGTCCTCACCCCCTGAGGCCATGGAACCTGAAGGTCAAGTCTGACAAATGCCCTCAAAGCAGGGCATTTTTTGTTAACTTCCCCTGGCATCCCACTTTCACTCTGCTTTTGTGATCAGGGTATAACTACTTTTTTTTCTAGCTCAGAGGAGCATTTCTTTAGCTGTCGCCCAGCATGACCCTTCTCCTTTCTGTGTGTCCACTCCCTTCCTTAATCATTAAGCCCTCAGGACATCAGATTCTAGTCAGCATCAAACCGCTTTAAGAACAAAGTCTTGGGCCGGCTGACCACAGAAACAGTTTCCTCAAACTCAAGATAACATCTTGACCTCAGTTGTTTTCAGCCCCAGGCCTTTGAAAGCAGAACAACCCTACTGACCACATTCTCATGAAATTAGAATGACCCACTGTTAATGTTAGGGCCTGATACCAATGATCACCTACTCTCAACTCCCTTAATCACCATGATTAATATTTTTTCCATATAATCTGTCCCATGCAGGCTGGCAGGAAGCCAGGTTTTTTTATTTTTTATTTTTAGCATTAAAGTAATAAATGATCTTGTAGGATACAAGATCAGTACTTCATTTTTAATTATATTGTATTGATTATACTATTACAGTTTTCCTGATTTTTCTCCCTTTGTCCCCTTCACCCAGCACCGCCCACTCCCTCAGGCAACCCCGCCCACCACTGCTCACGTCTGTGGATCATGCGTGTAAGTTCTGTGGCTGCTCCACCTCCAGGAGCCGGGTTGCAGAAAACTAGTTCACCTGTGCCTCAAGGCTTAGCGCCACTTCCTTAAATAAATCTCCAGTTTCTTTGCTGCAAACTACTGTTCTGAGTTACTGGGCTTTGATGTGCACAGGCGAATGGACCCCTAGAGCCCACTAACACGTGTTTGCTGTTTTTAGTGAGGAGCGTTGGTCTGGGAAATATCCCTTCACACACTTGGCTCCCAGTTCCTGGCCTGCAAGGGTGGATCATGGAGAGAGCCATAGGAAGCGCCGAAGTTGTCTGAAAGAGCGAGAATGGATGACCCCAAACCAGGTGGCATCAGTCAGTGGTGGTCAGATTTTGGATATAATGTAAAACAGAGCTGTCAGGATTTTCCGACAGATTGGATATGGGTCTGGGAGGGAAAAAATAAAGACAAGAATTACTCCAAGGTTTTAAGAAGCCTGAGAAATTAGAAAAAAGTAGAGTTGCTGTCAACTGAGGTTGGGAAGGCCACAAGTAGAGTTCAGTGTAGGGAAGACTGGGAATTTAGTCTAAACACATTGAGTTTAAAGGTCTACTAAACATCCACACGGAGATGTCAAGTAAATAGTCAGAAATGTGAGTCCGCAGTTCAGGGAGACGTCTGGGCTGGAGGCACAAATTTGCCGAAACTGACTGATGTTTCATATTACTTAGACAGACCAAGTAAATGTGAGATGGTCTGCAAATGCCTAGTCAACACCGAAACCTGGGTAGGAAATGTGGCACTACTGTTAAAAGAGTCACTATAACACTAGTTTGCATTAATGGTTACACAACTTGTGGTCATCATCCCAATACACTCTGTTCTCATTAGCTATTTGCTAGAGTTCTTTGCCAGTCCTGTGGCTTAAAAGGAATGTGAGGAATCTGGAGAACGCCTGGGAAAAGGCCAGCCACATAGTTGAATAAAGGGAGGGAAAATGATCCAGTGAAGGTTAAAAGAAACGAGAGTATTTGGTTAGAAATGATTAATAGTGGAAAAGTCCAAATGCTTGAAAGTAATTTGCCACCTTTAGGTCAATTGAAATAAAAGAAAATGAGCTTTCATTTTAGCATGAAAGACTCAGATTAAAAACAAAAAAGGGAAACTAATACCAAACTAATTCCTACTATATGAGTATTAGGTGTTGGCCCAGGCACCACTGCCTTTTAGCAAACATGAAGACCCCAAGGTAGAAACCCCCACTCCCATACAGATCAGGAAAGAGGGGCCCCAAAGGCAAGGCAAGTCCTCAGCAGGAGAGCTGCAATGCCGGTCTGAGTCTAATAAATCCAAAATCTGTGTTCTTTAAAATATACTGAATTTCCTAATGGAAAAACTGATAAAAGTAGAAGCTGATTACTGAGAGAAGTAGTAAAATAATTTTTTCTAGATCTTTTTAAATTAGAAAACATTCTTATTAGTATAGAATAACCCACTTTTCAAATTCTCTCCTGCTCCTAAACTACTATTACAATCTAGAATTCTGAAAGCAGTCATACTACCAGAACAAAAAAAACCACACATTATTTGTCAGGGAACTATTTTTGCTCCTATTTTCCTATTCTATAGTAAAATACATACTCACCTTCCTAAAATACACACCAAATTCTATAACAAAGTTCAATTTTTAAGTTAAGGTAATTCCACACACAACTCGGGGGTCAGACACCCCAGGCTCGGCAGACCTTGTTCTTGTTTGACTGGGAACAGCTGTAAGGGTATCAAGTAAGGTGACCCCTGAAAATATCTACGAGGGTTAGAGGTGTGCTGTGTTTTAAAGAAAGAACAGGACTGCCTTCATGGACAGGAAAGTCTGATGCCCCAGTGGCAAAAAGCAGCACCAGCCCTACCGTACGTGACTGAGGTTCAGGTAGGAAAAGCCCACCATCTGGTCAAAGAGCACCAGACACAATGCGTGTGACGAACAGCTGCCCTTGGGGTCGTCTATTTCTAGAGTAGGAGAGCTAGAAAGGGCCCTAGAGAACATTTAGCCTAAGGCCCTCTTTTTATGAGAAAGTAAACAATCTGCAGAAGGCGCTGAGGATCACTGCCTGCAAGCTGGCTGAAGCAGCGAGGGGCAGGTGGTCTCAGGACACCAGTCTCGGAGGCCGGGCCGAGCCGGACTCTGAGGGAAGAACAGCTGAGAAGTCCCCCAGAACTAAGGCTCCCACATCTGAGGCACTTCGTTAATGTTAATAAAAATGCAAATTAAGACCACAGTTAGGTTGCATCTTGGAATGTCAAGATTGAAAAGAATGACCATACCACAGACTGATGAGGATATGCAGAGGCCAGAAGGCTAACACACTGCTTGGAGGAGAATAAAATGGTACAGCCACTTTGGAAAACTATTTGACAGCTTCATAAAAACTAACATACACCTGCCGCATGACCCCGATATTTCACTCCTAGGTATCTGCCCAAGAGAAATAAAAGCATATGTCCATGCAAAGACTTACATAAAATGTTCATAGCAACTTTATTTATAATAGCCAAAACCTGGAGACAACCCAAATGTCCATCAACAGCTGAGTAAATAACCAATTGTGGTATAGCTGTGTAACAGAATACTACTTAGTATGAATAGCTCTCAAAATAATTCTCCTGAGCATAAAAGAATACAAAATGTATGACTCTATTTATGTGACGCTGTAGAAAATGGAAATCAGTTGGGAGTGCGGAGATGGCGGGTGGTTGGGAGGCCGGAGCACAAGGTACCTTTGGGGGCGGTGGGCATGCTCACTGTCGGGACTGTGGTGATGATTTTACAGGTGTGTATGTGCATGAAAACCTATCAGTTGTTTGCCTTAACTGTGTACAGTTCATCGCACATAAATTATACCTGAAAATACCTGTAACAAAAAGTGAACATTTGCCACAAAGTGGAGCTGAAGCTCAAACATAAAAGTTTATCTAAGAAAACAAGTCAATTATTTTGCAAACTTGAGTGAAATATGTACCTACTAAATACAGCGTTACAAATTATAATAAACAGCCCTGGCCAGGTTGCTCAGCTGGTTGGAGCGTCATCCCACACACCAAATGGCTGTGGGTTCGATTCTCAGTCAGGGCACACACCTACACTGCGGGTTTGACCCCCAGCTGGGGTGTGTACAGGAGGTAACCAATTAATGCTTCTCCCTCACATCAGTGTTTCTCTGTCTCTTGCTCTCTCAAATCAATAAACATATCCTCAGGTGAGGATTTAAAAAATTACGATGAATAGTTTGGTACAAAAAGTAGGTTAATCAGTTGTAAAGGAGAAGAGGGAAAGAGAGACAGTAGAGATAGCTTTTATTTCAAAAAACCCAAAAAGAACACATATACATTATGTGTAATTATGTATGCTACAGTGTACACACAAACATAAAACCTGAGAGTTGTAGTTTCGCTCAGATTTCCTTTTCCCCACATTCCTTAACACTGGGACTTCTCCTGTACCTGGTGCTCAGCGCCACAGACAATACCTGTGGTGCTGGACCATTCTCACAGGAAGAGACGAGCTAATGACATATATCAGCTGTTTCATCATTTTTTCTTTGTGTCAGAAAATTATACCTAAATTGAAAGCAGTACTTGAGAAACAGAACTAGAAATAGCCTGGCATACCCGAATTTCTATCAGTGAAATACCCCTTTGAAGAAATGGTGACACGATGGGACAGCTGGTCCCAATTTCTAATACATGATGGCCTCCCTCAGCCACAGAAGACAGGTGTGCACGCTGTACAGAGACACATGCAGGTAACTCTCCTTACCACTCAGCAGCCACCACAGCAAAGGGATGAATCCTGGGCTCTCGCTAATGTACTTCAAGCCTTTCAAATTGATGCTCACGTTGTACAGGGACATCAGCATTAACCTGCAATGCAAAGAGAAGGCGGTGAAGTACTGGCCCCTCCGCACTGCGCTGTACCCTAAATCCAGCTCCTGGCTAGGAAGACCTGAGCATATTTAGGGGTTCCTTACATTCGAGTCTAAAATCTGGATGACAGGAACAGTGATCAGAAGGTATGTAAATATAATATTTGCCTATGTGAGTTTCCCATTTTCCTTCTACAGGAAATGTTAGGGCCTGATACCTTCTACAGGAAAATGGGAAACTCACATAGGCAAATATTATATTTTCCTTCTACAGGAAAATGGGAAACTTAGCAGTAATAGCACTAACACTACCTCTTATAGGCTCACAGCATCAAGAGACACAAATGCAGAGAGGAAACCTCACACGCCACCTTTATGGATCATCTCTTTTGTTACCAATCCTGCATTTACACGCAGCTAACCCTAAATTCATAAGTACACTGAACTCTGAGAGTTCGATTTAGCTATTTAAATTTAATCGTATCTTTTCAGTCAATGGGCATTAGCCATGATGTCTGGATAGCCAGGCTGGGCCATAAAAGCCTGTTTAATCCACAGCCTGTGGGACAAAGAGGACCACAACCCCAACCATTCCTACCAACCAACCAAACAGAATGCAGCCCTGGCTGATGGCTCGTTGGTTAGAGTGTCATCTCTTATACCAAAAGGCTGAGAATTTGATTTCTAGGCAGGCCCGTACCTCAGTTATGGGTTTGACTCCCACTCAGGGTGTGTATGGGAGGCAACCAGATGAAGTTTCACAGATGGGAGGCAACCAATCAATGTTTCTCTCACAACAAGAAAGGTTCCTTCCTTCTTCCTCCCTCCCTCCCTCCCTCCCTCCCTCCCTATCTATCTCTCATTGCATATCCTTGGGTGAAGATTTTAAAATAATATAAATAAATAAAAATAGGTAAAAAAAAACAACAACAACAGTATGCAGAGTTAAACAGGACCCTATAAGCAGTCTTGGGAACTGATCACAACTGGTAATAGTTTAATGGAAATTGGAAAACTATAGGGACTGGTTCTGACAATACTGCAAAACAGAGATCCCAAAACTTCACACTGCAAGGCAAGAAAAAAGGCTACACAAGTATTTAAAAAACCCTTAAAGGAATGGATAAGCTGGCAAGAAATGAAGGGAAACATCTCTGACCAAGAACTAAGTGAAAACACAAATTCAAGGAGGTAAGCGCCTAAGATACCAGATTTCAGAAGCACAGAGCTTAAGTACTTATGGCGTCAGGCAGACGGACAGCCTCAGACTGGCCAAAGACAGATTCAGTCACTGGCCCTGCCGAAAGCCAGGAGAAAGTTAACTTTTAAGCTTGGCGAAGTCCATACTTTTTGTTATGTCCTGAAAATCCACAAGCCAATAATTTTAACACAAAGAGACCAGGGATAGGAGCTCCTTCAGCTGCCAAAGTAAACAAACATTCTCTTAAAGGACCCTCAACCTGTTCTTCAAAGAATTCCCGAAAATACAGTACTAAGAAATATGAGTTCTTAATAAAAATCATGAAACACATGAAGAACAAGAAATAAGTAACAGAACAGAGAAATAATAAGAGCCAGAATTTTTTTTTAAAAAGTCACATACTAGAAGTATCAACTGCAGAATAGAAAAATGAGTACACTTAACAGGCATAAATAATTCAAGAAGAAATTAAAAACATGATCAAGGATCTACTCAGTATTATAAATGACCAGGCACTTCAAAAGAACCTAGTGAAACTTACAAAAATAAAAACTATAATAATCAGACTGTAAAACTCAAGGGCAACTGACACATGGTAAAGGAGAAAAACTACATCGAATACAGAGCTAAAAAGAAATGGCAGCAAACAGCAAAGCTAGGAAGCAGGAAGCCCCGCAAGGCCGATCCCAGAACAAGGGAAGCACAGAACACAGACTCGATCCCGGCTCTGGCCAGCTCTGAACTGCGCCAGCTCAAGGCCGACAGCAGGAGCCAGTACAGAGGTTAGCTGGCATCCCCAGCAATGAGGTGCAGGGTTTGGCTGCTGACCCCCTCAAGGGAGCCAGAGTTAAGGAATCAGGAAAAGCTGACACCTGTGAGGACAAACATCGGTTCTCTTCAGGAAAAGACAACAGAGTCCAGAGTCCACGACGTATCTTCTGCAATGTTCAGCATACAATCGAACACTTAACTAGCAAGGACACATGGGGCGAGCAGAGTAGGCATTTGTCTGGGGTGCAAATTTAAGGGGTCTCAAAATGCTCAGTAACCAAGATTGTAGAATACATTACAATACAATTTTTTAAATCAAAAGTACAATTGTTTAATCTTTTTAATCAAGAGCTGTAAAAAAGCCTCCACGATTAGCAATATATCAACATTTTAAATAGAGATGGGACAGTCACAGGGCCATGATGAGACAGAATGACACCTTCAGTAAAAGGAAACTCAGTAATGGCCATAGAGTCCACAAAAAAGGGACCAACTAAATAAATGATGGGGTGTGAATGCGTGCATGGCGGGGAACATGTTTTCCCTTTTTCTGTTTCCCCACTAAACTCAATTTGTCAAAAGCCAGCTCCACAGCTGCTCTTCTTTACAGCCACACGGGCTGGCACCTGCCAGACTCAGTGAGTACTCAGCGTTCGCACGGACAGTGAGTGACTCCCAGAGGCCGAGAGTGGCAGCAGGCAAACACGCAGACAGGCTCTGCTCTCCTCACGCACCCATGGGCATCTGCAAAGTCGGGCAGGGCTAGAGTCCTCACAGACACCACAACCGGCGGCTCGGAAGCAGCGCCCCGCTCTCACCACGATTCTCAGCCTCCCTACAGGCCTCCACATGAGCCAAAACTGCAGTCCTTTCCTATTTTCCTGACAATTTTGCACATATCTGGAATCTATGCATTAGTAACCTATTTAATGAGTTATTAAGGGATATTCAAGTGTCACATTCTTGAGGAAAATTCAGCACCTTCATTAAAATTCTCTGAGATCTCTAATCCAATATCCCAGGAAGAGACAAGTTTCTACTTGAAGACTTTTTTGGTAAGGGAAAAGGGAAGGGAGAGAAAAAGAGAGAGGGAAACATCAATCACATTGCCTCTCACACACCCCAACTGGGGACCTGGCCCACAACCCAGGTCTGTGCCCTTTACCGGGAATCAAACCAGTGACCTTTTTTGGTTCGGCACTCAACCCACTGCGCACCCCAGCCAGGGTGAAAAGTTTGCACTGTAGATGACTGACAGAGAGAGTAGAATTCCTTAAAATTAAGTGCATTGTCTCTGCTGCTTTCGCACCGCAGGAGCAGGGCTGAGTCATCTCAACAGAGATCCTCTGGCCCCCAGAGCCTGAAAGGCCCTCCATTTAGCCCTTTATAGGAAATGTTTGCCAACCCCTGCTTTAGAGGATGAAAATAAGGTAGGCTAGTCTTCTCTAGATCTTAAAGACAACGTTAACCTCTGGGAGATCACTGGAATGTGGGGCAAGTTCCAGAAAATGTGTCCAGTTGAAAGTCTCCAGTAAGAGCATTTAATTTTAAGGTGTTAAAAATGATTCACAAATTGACAAGTACCTTTAAAACTTCGTATTTGGGCAAAATCAGCCCTCCTTAAGGAGCTAAGAGAGAACGAATGTGACTGCAATGGCCACAGTGCCACGTGAGACCCCATGTCATTGCTAGGCTGCATCTCACAGAAGACCAGAGACATCTCCAAGGTCACACAAGACTTCACAAAAAACAAACCCAGAATGAGTTTCTTATGCAAATGCTTCTATTCCAACATTTCTATTTCAACCAAAAGTACTTTGTAAATAAAAATGTCAAGTGTCCAAATGACAAGTCAGAAGAGACAGGCTGTTCAATGGACTCTTCTAGTACGAAGACACTGAATGCCTTTCCAAGGTGCCAAGGAACTGGAGTCAGACTGCCCCCCAACAACAAAAAAGGCAGGCAGAGCCTGCTCCCTACCACAAACCTCAGTGGAAGATTCCTTGTAAGTGGATCAATGAGCTCCAAAAGAACAACGTCCCAGGCTCTGTCTGCGGTCTTGAAAATTTTAGAGACATCTGACATCAATCAGAAAAGGACTGAAAGCGAGGCTAAAATAAAGGTCCTGGTGAACCTAAACTGGTACAAAAGCATCACAAGTATAAAAGGACGCTTCCCTCACCTGGATACACTGGGCTGGGGTGGAACAAGTTCTCCTTGAGAGAAGCCCTCTGACAGTCTGCTGACAAGGCTGGCTCCCTAAAAGTAAAGGTGACTCAACCAAACTACCGACTTCTTAAAAGAAGTTACAACTAACAAAGAATAAACTCACTCAGTACTCCAAAACACACCTGCAATAAAAATAAGCAAGAGGGCACAATTGTGATGATCCCCCACCCCAGCACAAACAAAAGCCACTCACCAGTGTTCCAAAACTGGCTAAATGTAAAGTGGCCCAATTGGCACCATCAAGTAACCCTACGGCACAGTGAGCAATGAAGCCCTTTAGAAGACTGCAGATGGCACACGACAGAGAAGCAACTGCAGAGCAAGCAGACACATCGGACCACATGACAGAACCGGCAGCTGGAGGCCTACCTGTTTTGAAAGAGCAGTGCAGTAATTAACGATTTAACATGCTTGTTTTAGATTCTGTGCCCCTGCTCCAATCCAGTTAGAACCTAAAACTTAGAAAGAAGGAGCTACTACCTTTTGCAACAACATGGATGGAACTGGAAAGCATTATGCTGAGTGAAATAGGCCAGGCACTGAAGGACAAATACCATATGATCTCACCTTTGACAGGAAGCTAAAGAATAAAACAAACAAGCAAACAGAATAAAAACAAAGACGCTGAAATAGAGAACAAGTGGGCAGCGACCAGAGGGGAGAGGGAAGGGAACTTAAGGGGAAAAAAGGGGGAGGGATTTTGAGGAACAAGTATGAAAGACACAGAGATGAGGACTGGGGGGGGGGGGGGGGGTGGGGAGGGAGGGGGGGGGGGGGGGGGGGGGGATGGGAGAAAT